CCCCACAAAAAGACCGCAACCTTGGTTTGTATTGAGGGGGGAGGGGGAAGGGGGGGCAAGGGAGGGGTCGAACAAGTTGTCTGTCTGTGATCTGGGGGGGGGGAAGGGGCATGTGTTGTATTTGCTCGAACATTCAGGTGAGGTGGAAATCACTGTCATCATCTGAACCCCATGGTCGCCTTCCTTGGATGTCTGAAAGGACATCTCAGTTCTTGGCTAGGGTTTCACTCGTCTGCAGCCTCAGTCGGGGGACAGTATGATGCCACCTGACCACCCATCCCAATCCTCAAGCACAAGAACCATTTTGCGCACATGTGAAAACAGCAAACCAAACAGAAAAAGAATACAAAACGAACTGAGAAACTGATGAAAACCTAACCTTCTCCTCAGGCCGGCATGAATCCCCAAGCACAGAAAAAGAATACAAAACGAACTGAGAAACTGATGAAAACCTAACCTTCTCCTCTGGCTGGCATGAATCCCCAAGAACAGATGCTGAGGAAAATCCCGTCCGTGCATGCTATATCATCATCCACCCCTGCCCGGCAGACTACCGGCTACACACCACGCACTGAAAAAATAATCCAGATCGAGGCCGGTACGACCCATACCCTTCTCCTCCCAAGGCCAGCACCGACCTCGCTTAGGCTCGAGGGAGGACTTGCCGCACGGTGCTTCGAAAGAGGCTCACAGGTAGTGGTGGTCAAGGGACGGGGGGGTAAGTTTAAATTAAAAACTTTAAATTCGAACCACGTTGCCAGAGAGGCCCAGGATCGGTTGCCCGGCCATGCCAAGAATGAATTAAATAACAATAATCATTGCAAGGAATATGAGTGTGAGCGATATACATAAAACCAAGTTGCGAAATCACACAGCTGAAGAAGTAGTCGTGTCCCAAGCAGAGAGTACAAATGCACCGAGAAAACCATCCATACAGAGCAATACAATGAAGTAATGAGCCAATGTCCAAGCCCGTAGGCCACACCAACACAGTATCCAAACTCGCTCTCTCCTGTCTGGCACTCAGCGCCCAGCCTACTCTACCTGACTAGCCTACCTACAGCCAGTTCACGCAACAGGATCACTTCRACTCTCGAAGACCAATGTACACGACTGCCAACACCATCGCTGACCTCTCTTCATGTACCAGGTACATATCTCGTCACCCTCAATCAGACCTTGATTACCCCACACAGCGCCTCCTTCCCTGAAGACAACCTGATCATCCGCTGTACCCCAGCCCGGCTATGGCTGCCTGTGCCCCGCTGCCCTGCAGCGCCCCACCTCACCCCTCGCGCCCCGTCAGCGCCCTTGGCAGCTCCGCAGCATCCAGCGAGAGTGCAGCAGCACTTCCGCATTGCCAGCGCTGACCAGAATGCCTGGCCTGGCCTGCTTCCTTCCTTTTGTGGAAGTGGCAGCCTCCTGGATGCTGCGTGTGGCCTGGCTGGAAGCTTCCAGTAGCTTCCGGTTGGGTCCCAGACCCTGCGCCCAGGCCCGAGACTACAGTTGAGGGCCTGGGCCCTTTGCAGTTAGTCACGCCCTGAGTCTCCGGACTTGGGCTGTTTGCTGCATCTGTGCAGGGCTCCCAGGCAGGTGGGTTGGCACTACTGCTTTTGCAAAGGCCGAAGGACTGCTTCCCAATGTATCGGCCCTGCATTTGTGTACGTGTGCCCAGGCAAAACTGTCAAGGCCTGGGCCAACTGTATGACGCAGCAATATGAGGCTCACGCATCTTCCCAACCAACTGGCGTGCTTAGGGCGGGCACTTGGCTTGCTGGGGGCCTTAGCCCAGAATAAAGTGCTGTCTGATAGGGCCCCTTGAGGGCTTGTTCCTCACATAATAATAATAATAATAATATAATAATAATAATAATCATCATTACTATTATTCATGGTTGCATCCCTGCCGACCGCCGACCCCGACCGCCGACAGTATTGCAGCTGACCAGTAGGGCCAACCGGTCGGCGGTCTGCCGACCAGTCAGAAAACAACCATCCACTAATTTTTTTTCGGATCTGAGTTGGAAGCTGTACTTCGCTTGCTGAGTACAGCCCAAATCCGCTGAGAAACTTTTGGGGATGGGGGGGTTGGGGATGGGGTGTATAGGGGGATATA